CTCTTCCCTTGATGAGTAAAACATCTGGATTTAATCACACAGATTGAGTAAAATAAGAAAGTAGCCACCAGGGTTCATAATTGCAGCTTAATGGGCTGACTATATATCTCAGGGGCTGCTCATTTGCAGATAGGGTAATTAACCCACTGTGTGGCAGCAGGGAGCAGTCTCAATCCCCTTAAAATCATCTAGCATTAGACAGACAGAATAAAATAATAAAGGCAGTCTTTAGGGCTCATCAGGACAGGGCACATGCATTGTCACATGTAGGTGGGCCTCCTCTACGGCTCAACTCTCTCTGATCTTGTGCTTATCTATATATACTAATTCTGCACTGTGATGGGCAAGTATATAAATTTCACACCATATTTAATAAACGTTTTAAAATATATGAACATGTAATTGTGATGTATAAAACAACCACAATTTTTAGTATAAATTAAAAACTGGCAATAAAACCACCAAGGCCAGTGCTGTCTGCTGACACAAAACAACATAATTTCATGTACACAATGTTTAATCGTTAACAATACTTTTATGTCCCCTATTGAAATATTTGCTGTATATATTAGGATGAGTTTTTGACATAATATGAAGGGTCTAGTGACTCTAGCCGTCTAGAAAGTTATAAAAAAGTTTCGTGAATCTTACCTGAAGGAATTAGTCTTTCTTTGTAGTGAAATGCTGATCCACAAGCGAAGCAAACCCGCACCCTCGCTCCGCGTTGTAAAACAAGTAATGTTCGAGGGAAATATTAAGATTTTTAGCTCAAAAACAACAGAAAACTTTTAAATATCTATATCGTATCTGAATATTTGCCCCAAAACCAGGGGCACAGAAGAAGGTGCCAGGGGGGTTAAGGACATCGTCAAATGCTTAGGATCGCGGTTGGTCAGTGGCAATTACCATGAAAATAAAGTAAGTGTTGTCATGGAAATGGCGTAAGATCCGCCATGTTTTTGGCGACACTTTTTGATCCCGAGCAGGTCCTCCAGTAATATAGTATAGCTCAGTGGGTCACTCATCCAGCAGTACAGGTCGCTCGTCCCCAGCGCTTTGATGTTGCGTGACGCGCGCGCGGGAGGAGCAACGCACCTCGATTCCCACGCGTGCGTCACGCAACCAGTAAGCACATCAAAGCGCCAGGGACGAGGCTGGCTCGTCCCATGGACCTTTGCGTCCTATTGTTCCAACCCCCAACGCCTCTAAATTTACGCCTGTATGATCTTAATTTTTTTCCCAAAGGAATTAAAAGGCTGGGGCAAGGGTATTTTCGTCGTGACTCGTGATTAGCAATTATTCGTGCTTCGTGATTTGAAGAAATACCATTCCGTGAATCGTGACGTTTTTGACAACACGAACGGAGTCAACGGCATGAGTCTGCCTCCTCCACAGGCCCTCGTTGTGTCATGGGAAGGTCACGATTTCGAGAGGGCCTGCGGAATCTTGTAAAATGAATAAATGTTGTTTTGAACCTGCTTCGTTAAAGAAGGCAGTTTTATTCATGCAACGTTGGTGTGGACAACAAACCTTATCGTTAAAAAATGCTTCCTTCCACGTCCTTAGAGTCGCCAGTTTAATTTATAAGTTTCACACCGCTTTTTTATATCTGTTTATATTCAAGATTATGTAGAAATTTACTTGCTGACGTGACGCCGGCGCCATTTTTTTTACAAGATTCCGCAGGCCCTCTCCAGAACGTGACCTTCCCATGACGCAACGAGGGCCTGCGGAGGAGGCAGGGCATGAGTAACGTCAGAAGACTGGGTCAAGGGCTGTGATTGAACTGTGATTGGTGAAAAACGTCAACTTTACTTCCGGTCGACGTCCGTGTTGTCAAAAACGTCACTTGCTTAAAGGTGATCTACAGTCCGATCAGCGCATGTGCACAAGTGAGCCCACTTTTTATGATACAAACAGTTTTTAAAACTATGTTTTGAGTTCTTGAAAAGCCTGATTGTTGTTTCCTGATCATTTATTATACTCTAGATGCTTGAAAATATAAATAGTTCAATATTATATAAAGCTCAATATTTTGGACACAAAAATGTAAACAAAGGCTTTGTTTACATACGGACTGTAGATCACCTTTAAGCTCACTAATTTAAGCTCACTAATATGCGTGCCAAGAATCGTGAAGAGCTAAAAGGCTAGCTAGGGTCTTGAATTTACCAATATATTAGCCTAACTTGTGAATATTTAGGTTTAAAACTCGGCCGAAATTTAATATTAAGGTTAAAAAAATAAATTTGCTTCCCGCGGTTCGTCGTTGTCGTATACCTACGTATCTCTTGGTAGACTTCGTGAACCATCGTAAGACGCTATTAATATTTCGTAATGTAGTCCTTTAAAAGCGCTAATGTTAAAGTCAGTAAATTAAATATGTTTGTGTTAACATCAATTTCTGATGTCTAGAAAATTGTTAAATGGTTTCAGACTTTGTTACGCTTCTGTGTTTCTAAGAATCGTGAAAATAAAATTTTGTTTTTCGTGACTCGTGAAATCTAAAAATAATCTTCGTAATTTCGTGACGAGACCCCCCCCCTCTTGCCCCCCCCCCCTCTCAGTGCTTATAATGAGCTCGTGCCAATCCAAGGTTGTGTCTGTCAATAAATTCGAACTATATAACCATTTCAACCTCGGCATTTCAACATTCTCTCTTTTTTTACGCTTGAGTTTTTATTATAGAGGCATAAGATAGTAATGAAAGTATATCTGAGAACAACTTAGATTAGTTTATTTTGTTTAGTTCAGTATTTCACAATTTTTAATATTATTTTCATTGTCATCTGTGTATCTAGGATAATAGACATGCGTTTCATAAACTCTTTAATGCAGATAATTTTAGACATTATTGACATTACAGATAGTTATTAAGACTTGTATAAAGTATTGAGAACAGAAGAGCCCGCGGGCGCTAGGATCGGGGGCTCAGGGATGAGAGAAAAAACAAAGCAGGGAGAGATTTTGTAAATCAAATGTGAGAGTTTCAATGAATTTAAGTTTAAAATAAACAGTTTTGTCGAGTAGAAATATACGTTTCCGACATTAAATTAATTTTATAAGCAAGAGATACAATAATTTAGTGCCGGATCGGTCGAAGCGAAATAAAAAAAACGTATAGACTATTATTTTATTAGCCATTTCGACATTTCAATTTAAACATATAGCTAGATACACCCCCCTCTCTCCTCCACAGAGGCTTTAGTTTTCTTAGGATTTAATATTACGATGAAATACATTTCACTACACTTTACATGGCGGATCTTGGAACACGAGCGTAGCCGCTGGGCGAAGGAGCGCATTTAGATTTTGTTTTTAAAAATAAAAATTTCCGTATTTTTTTTACTTAATACAGACCCAACAAAGTTGCATCCAACAATGTTGGATCATGTCGTACTGGTTTACGGGCCTATACAGTAAATATTAGAGAGCTTTGGCTATGAGTACGACTACCACTACGAGATTCGTTTATTTGGACATGTCATTAACAGTGACGTCTAAGGTCGTTAATAGTGTTTTTGACATTAGTTGGTTTAATTTAGGACAATAGACAATTTAGGTTATTGAGATTTATTCAAATTTGCATGAATATAACATGTTGTTTTGTTGTAAAAGTTTTTAGTTAGAAATACATTTGTCGCAAAACAACACTCGGATTGTGAGTTTGTTAGCCTGCGTGGCAGGCCCTCAATTTTTGGGGGGCCTGATTTGCAACGGGCAGGATGGCCTGCCACGCAGGCTATGAGTTTGTCTACAGGTTATGGGCCCAGAAAATGCTGTTAGGATCGTTTAACAATCCTACGTCGCCGGTTTTTGGACCAGGAACTGGTCCCCAATCGCTGCTAATCTTGTTGTTGTTGTTGTTGTTGTTGTTGTTGTTGTTGTTGTTGTTGTTGTTGTTTGGGGGCGACGCTCTTTGAAAAAACCCTAAGGCTCCGTCATTACTTGTCCGATCGGAATGAAACTTGACATAATTATTCTAAGCAATATTCCGCATCGATTGACGGTGTTCGATTTTTCATTTTTGACTTTAGAAGCGAAATACAAGCAATTTTTGACTGTATTCGTAGCAATTAATATATACATATCATTAATATTCAGCAAATATATCAGCAAACGCAAATGATAAGAAAGACATTGTCTTTTCTATTGTTCGTTGTGAACACAATCACAATAGTCTAAGGCAGCGTTTACACTGTACCGTTTTCGTAGCGTTCTCGTATTGTTCTTAATCCTCAAGGGAACGCAAGACAATAGTCTAGTTCTCTCGAACAATACGAGAACGCTACGAAAACGGTACAGTGTAAACGCTGCCTTAAAGGGTAATGACAATAAAATTTTTTATTGCTTTATCTGAAAGAGCAGGAAAAAATAAGCCGATTGGCCGTTTACTGCTCTATTCTATCTCATCTGGTTCCAAAGTTATACGCAAAAATGTGCAAAATATAAATTGCTGATTCAGCACAACGTGTGACGTCATTGATTGGGTAAGTATGTTTAATGAATACTAAACTGAAGCATAGCTCAGTTATTATGGGACCAAATCAAATGAAATTTTGCGTACTGATTGTACATGATGAGATGCATTGAAAAACACTTCTAATTTTGTTGCCAAGGTAACAATGTCGTTCCCAGGCCCCTTGCGCCAATTTTATAAAACAGCTTTATTCATGGTACTTATAAGAATAAAATAATGTCAGAAGTATGTGTACCATACCTATGCATGCCAAAAGTTTACTTGCATGATAATAATTCGAAAATGACATACACATAGATAAATGCAACTAGTTATTCAAAATCAGTGTAAGGGGCCTGGGAACGTCTGCGTTGCCTTGACAACAAAACTAGAAGTATTTTCCCATGCGTCTCATCATGTACTATCTGTATGCAAAATGTCATTTGATTTGAGCCAATAATAACTGAGCTATGCTTCAGTTTACTATTCATTAAACATACTTACCCTACCAATGACGTCACACGTTGTGCTGAATCAGCAATTTATATTTTGTACATTTTTGCGTATAACTTCGGAACCAGATGAGATAGAATAGGGCAGTAAACGGCCAATCGGCTTATTTTTTCATGCTCTTTCAGATAAAGCAATAAAAATTTTTATTGCCATTACCCGTGGACGGTTAACTACGTATATGTAATATAAAATTGAAATTACATTACAGACACATATAATGAAATTGAAACATAATGAAGTTTATAATAAGAAAGAAAATTTACGAAAATATATAATAGATTTTCCAATAATTTTATATATTGTTACTGAATATTCGATAAACATGGTCGTAGCATATTGATCAGAGTTAGCTGTTCCTTATTCGTTAAGCAGAAAATTACGAAGTTGCATCTTGAAAGACGAGATTGTGTTTATCGCAGTTATATTTGTAGGTAAAGAATTCCAAATATTCGGTCCTGAGTATAAGATGGTGAACTGCTTAATATTAGTTCGACAAGCATGAGATCAAAAGTTACCGGCAGATCTGGTGTTATAACCATGTATTTGATTGTTTATTGTAAACAGATTATCAAAGCATGTTGGCAACATGCAATGATGATATAAAAACATAAACTTGCCAATGTGAAATGTATTTAGCTTAAATATATCCAATATTTTGAGTTGTTTAAAAGTGGATCAGAGTGTGCACGGTATTCGGAATTTGTAAGAATACGTAGAGCTCGTTTTTGTAAAAGGAAATTCTATTGAGGTTGGTTACATAAGTGGAAGACCATACAATATTACAATAAGTAAGATAGGGATATATAAGTGTGCAGTACAAGGCTAATCTTGTTGCGGATGACAGTAGATATCGTGATCGGTAAATAATTCCAACAGACTTGGCGATTTTATTGCAAATATAATTAATATGTTCCTTCCATGACAAATGTCGGTCTATATATACTCCTAAAAATTTTATGTATTGTTTTTGGGTGATCATTTGATTGTTATATTGGATAACTAGATTTAAATTAATTTTCTTTTGTCTCGGCCGAAAAATGATATAGTTTGTTTTAGTGATGTTCACAGACAATTTATTTGACTTCATCCAGATATCCAGCTTTCGAAGTTCACTGTTCAAAACAAATTCAAGTTGCTTGATATCCGAATTTGAATAATA